AAAAGGATTCGGAATAATAGATGGTACTGTTATGCTTAGTGGGATTTGACAGCTAATGCTAAAGCTAATGCTAACTTCAGGCCATATACTCGCAAAAACTTACAACCGAGCATGCTTAAAATAAACAAAAACTCATTTACACCTTTAAGATGGAAAATAAAGTTGTTAAGTTGCACAATGTACCACGTAAATTATAATGTTGCAAGCAACGCGTGAGTCGCATCTTACCTGTTTAATGTACATGGCGGTTTATGCACAAAACACTCCTCAGAAACCAATTAAATAAAGCTGAATTAAACACCCTCCTCCTCAAAGAGAAGAAGGGCTTTAGTGATAACAAAAAAATCCTGCACACCGGATAAAATTGTTGAATTTTGACTCTTCTGTAGTATCAAATTTTATTTTCCCTCCCCTCACGCAAAAGACATAACAGTCAAAATGGCGACAGAGGCGGGACGAGCGGGTCAGTCTACTTGATCTTTTAGGGGAGCCTTGACGTTATTGTTTAAAATAGATGTTCAAAACGGTAGCAGATGGATCGCACGTACTTTACGTTATCAAGAAAATGTAAATATATGTGCTTTAGCCGAATTTTTAATCAACTCTTTGCTTTACGTTAGTTTTATATACATTTCGTCACTGAACGGTTCCCCTTTTTCTGTAAAGATAGTTCAGTCCATCTTGGGCGCCAAGACAGATGCTCTCAATAGAAAAACTTAAGAGGAAAGCTTGCCATGATCATTTATTAATAACAGATCATTGTCCTGGGTTTGATGCGTTCAATTTATTTTTTTAATCTCCCATTTTATTTATTCGATTCACATAAATGTACTATGTGTCGCACATGTGGTTATAATTCAATGTTCTTGTCTTTTTTCACAGTAAAAGAGAAAAACTGTTTTACTCAAACTAGTTTGTCACACAACAGTAATATTATAAAACATGTATCTTAATTTACATTTTATTATAAAAGTTTTTTTCCTAAAATAATCAAATGGAGGAAACCCAGCAAACATTACATCCCCCAAACGTTCTTATATGACTCCCTTTGGTTCCCATTAGGTTATATTTTGGGGGGAGCCATAAAAGAATGTTCTGGGAATGTGTTCTGTGGGATCTTTTTTATATCAATCTAAGCATCCTGGTATCCATCTAACTTTTGTAACAACTTTAAAGGAATTGGGAAAGTTTTATGTACAGTTCTGAATAGTTACCTAAGTTCTGAAGAAAAGAAAAAAAAACGTTTCCAGATTATTCTAGCAACTACAATTTGTCATCTACAATTATTCAACTTCTTATTAATGAACTGCTCATCTGGGTTCAGAGTGGCGAATAGCAAGTCTGAAGCCTAATAACATTTATATATAAATATATATATATATATATATATATATATATATATATATGTATATATATATATATATATATATATATATATATATATATATATATGTGTGTGTGTGTGTGTGTGTGTGTGTGTGTGTGTGTGTGTGTGTGTATATATATATATATATATATATATATATATATATATATATATATATATATATATATTTGAGTCATATCTGAGTCATTATTTTAATCTTACATCACACAAACTTTATTTGCAATTATTTTGCTGTTAATAAATCTGTTGATGGGCAACACGGTGACTCGCTGGTTAGTACTGTCACCTCACAGGTCGCTGGCTCGAGTACCGGCTGGGTCAGTTCGCATTTCTGTGTGGATTTTGCATGTTCTCCCCTTGTTAGTGAGGGTTTCCTCCGGGTGCTCCGTTTTCTCTCACTGTCCAAAGGCATGCGCCATGTGTGAACTGAATAAACTAAATTGGCTGTAGTGTATAAGTGTGTATGGATGTTTCCCAGTAATGGGTTGCAGTTGGAAGGGCATCCGCTGTGTAAAACATGCTGGATAAGTTGATGGTTCATTTCACTGTGGGACAGGGCCGAAGGAAACTGAACGAATATGTTCATAATACACTTTCTATTTGTTTGACCCAAATTCACCTTTACTTATGTATCACAAGCTAAAATTAATCACATTGTTTTTGTGTGTGTTGTGAAAAATTGCAACTTAAAAGTATATAACCTAAATATACTTCTACAGCATTCGTCACAGCAGAGGTCACTGTTGTGTCTTTTTACATGGCAACTCTCCTTAAACCTTAAAGGCCTGTCTGTCCAGCCTGATCTCACGAGAAAACGTAAGTATTTTAGGTTTTGCCAATTTAGTGGCCAATTCGTACGAATTCAGTAGTAAGAAAATGTACAATTTTAAAAAGGAGGCATGGCACCCAAACCAACCATCAATAGGTGATGAGCAAATTGTACTAAATTGTACGAATTAGATCGTACAAATTGATACAAACTAGCCAATAAATCAAAAAGTTACGAATTGCTGTGAGATAGCGTTGGTCTGTCAGTATGACAATAGGTAGTATTTCCTTTAACAAAAGTGCGTAAATTATTGCTGACTGCACTGGTTTTAAAGTTGAAATAAAAATTTACAATATTTATTTTGCTACTACCACATTGTTGAATTAGCTTCGTTTTTTTAGTAGTCCACTGTTTTGGTAATCTTCAATCAACATCAGACCATTTGGTTCTGCTTTTGGTTTCAGTCACAATATTCTTAATCACGCCCCTCTTAACATTAGTTTGCTATGAGAGAGTGATGTGAAAAAAGAAAGCCCCACCCCCTACTCAAAGTTCTGTTTCAATGTGTTATATGCACAGCTAGTGTTTTCAGCTAACTCTAACCTTCGGGTGCAAGGTTTAAGTGACTAATTTTATAAGGTTCCTTATAAAGCATCAATGCTGTAATGTAATTAAAATACAATCAGTTAAACAGACTAAGGGGTTGATCACACTGAGCACGCTTAATGAGTTATTGAGGCACCTTTTTTGAATGATTTACTAATATCCGTGAGCATTTTGCTCGCTGCTTATGTACACTGCACACCTCGCGTTTTAACCGCCTGCTGTGCCTCGCATTTTTGACGTTGCAGGCCATGCAGTCACAGTTGAAAAAAGGCAACTATTTGTCACGTCTTTTTCATTCTCCAATCAAATGAAAGCAGAGACTGGTGCCTGAAGTCAGTGTTTGTGTTGTCAAGACAACTATGAAGACTTTATAGATGGAGGAAAGACTTGTGGTAGCTGTTTTAAGTCATCCGTTGCTGTATGACTTTACAAATCTTGAATATCACAATATTATTAAATTTCTAAAATTATATTAACATCAACAGCAACACTCGCGCACAATACCCAGCTGATTCAGATGTTGCCTAGTGAGTTGCAAGTAAGGAGGATGCGTGAAACTTCCCCGGTTGTGTTCTTGATATCGAGAACGCACCGATGCAGACTTCAGCACCGAACTCGCTCTAGAAATCCCAGAAGTCATTGCGACTGGAGGTAGGTAGCGCAGCATTTTATATAGATTTCTTATTACAGTTCGGAGATATAAATTATTTACCTCAGGAGTTTCCCTAAATGAACCGGTGAAAGTAAACATTACCATGGACATCTTAATAAAGGAGAAAACACATTAAGGTTGTTTTGCTAAAATTTGTATTAAAATCTGTTTTATTTATGTTGTGTAACGTATATTTATAATGTTTTTATGCAGAGTATATATTTTGAAAAGGGGAAAAACAGTAAATCGTTGTTTGATGTAATGTTTAAATAATTTTCCATTTAAACCCCGTGAAGGTCACGTGACCATCAGGAAGAATGCAGCATCTCATTTCATACAGGATACGTTCTCGCAGTCTCCCGAGTTCGTTCTTCCGAGGATACCTGGCAAGACCGATCTCCACAAGAACACAAGTTCGTTCTCTGTGTTCTTGGAATTGAGAAACAGCCACAGTTTATGTCCACAGATATATACACTAGATATCACATACGAGCCCAGAGCATGCGCCAATAGTGCCGCCATATTGGTACAGAGCTCCCAGGACAAATGTCATTCAACCGCACTAGTCAAGATTGAAATCCAGTGTGAAGATGCTAGACTTTAGCACTATGTATGGGTGTAGTAACAATAAACAAAGCACAAAGGCAGAACATTTCATAGGTAAGATTTAATTTACTATATTTTTATCATTTTTGATTTGTTACGAACTTTTGTGCTCAAGTAATGTTATTGATGATAATACAGTAACTTACTGCATTCGCCATAAGGCAAAGCAACACCAAACTCACACTAAATTCTCGATGTAGAAAAGTGATCATTTTAATTTAAAATTATCAATTTCGTAATTTAAATAAATATTTGCACACTGACCAATCAAAAACTTCCAATCATAGATATATGTGTATATCTGTGGGTCCGTATGGCCACAGTCCTTCACTACACCTTGGTCCTGCATTCATTTCATAGGAGCGCTACCCTGTACCAAGATGGCAGCTCTATTGACGCATTTCTTCCAATAGACAACAACAGCATATGCAACATATTATGTAAAATATCTATGGTTCATGTCTGTTCTTGCAAAGTATTGCCAGATTCACTTCTTTAAAAAGCGGTTCCTTCTGTTGTGTTTGTCATTGTGTTATGATCTTTTTGCCTGCGTTTTTGACAACTGCTTTTTGGATTTTGGACTGCCTCTTTGTTTGCTTGACTTTGCCTGATTTATGATTAGGATTCTGCCTTTGTTAGATGTACGCTCTTTGTACGCATTTGAATTCATTCCGCCTCCATGTCTTCCTCTACGGCTCCCTCTTGAAATTTAATGCAGTGCTTCTTGTCTGATCTGACACTCACTTAATATCGTACATCAATTAGGCAGTGAAGATTACTTATATTTAAAGAAATCAGATCTTAAACGTGGCGATTTTGTAATGGCGGCACAATTCACCAGAAGCTGGCTGACTGAAAATGAAGAGTTTGTGTACATACACCTCGTTGGAAGTACATCAACATATAAAAACTTCCGTTTCACGTGGACTTTAAACTTGTAAAATATGGAAACAATAAAGAACTTATACGATAAGCAAATGTACACTTCTGTAAAAACATTTATTAACAGATGCACAATTCATAAAAAAAGAAACAGTTTAAAAATAATAATAATTTAATTTGCCCAGCCAGGCGCTGATAGGCAGAACATCATCAAGCTAAGGCAGGTATTGCAGAGTAATCATTGTGCAGTGGTTTTCTCTAAGGCAAACAAAATCAAAAAGCAAACACTGTTCTTCAATCTTTAAATATTAAAACAAGTGTTTTTTTTTGTATTCCCTGTGATACACCATTGCTTTGTTCAGTTCGACTGTCCTTTGTTTTTCAAGTACACTGAGATTGCGATGAGTCGGGCAGCCATTTTAAGGCAGCGCAGTTATTGGACTCAGTTTGAATGATGGCTGGATGGGTGTCAGGAAGGAGGTAGGGAAGGTGAAAACCGAGGATTCAAAGCTCTCCGTTTCCAGTGTGAAGTCTCCGCTGAAGAAAGTGGGTGTCTCTTGAGCTGCTGGAGTCACTAGTGGAGGTGTGGAAGAAACCACCTCAGACTCGAACTGCAGCAGCTGACCCATGAAGCTAAAATTGGGCGAGATGATGGCACGCCGCTGTCGGATGACGTCAAAGGCCTGCTCCAAACGCAACCGCTGGGTTTTCATGATGTACGCCATGCAGATGGTGGGAGAGCGAGAGATTCCCGCCTCGCAGTGGACCAGCACTTTACCTCCCTCTGCTTTCACGCGCTCTGTGGAGAGAAAAGGAAGTGCATTCAGTACAAAAGCTCCCGATACAACAGCATATGAGTGACAAAAAACAGACTGCATTTTTAAAATCGAGATTTATTAAAGAAGCACTTTTAGAAAAGTACAAAATAGTCTTGCAGAATTTAGGTATTACAGCTTATTACATTGATAGATTGCCCAAAAATGAAATTAAAAATCAGGCACCGTTACTGTAGTTGTGCTAAACATGAGTTTCTTTCATAGAAAAATGTTGGAAACTGGTAGCCTTTAATTTCCGACTATAGAAGTCAACACAAATCATAGTCAACTGAAACTAAATGAGGGTGAATTAACGGTCCGGGGGAAGATAGTTTGGAAAATGTTGGAAACTGGTAGCCTTTGACTTCCTACTATAGAAGTCAATAGAAATCAAAGTCAATTGGAACTGAATGAGGGTGAATAGATGTTACAAAAGAAGATATTTTGAAAAATGGTGGAAACTGGTACTTCCTACTATAAAAGTCAATAGAAATCAAAGTCAATTGGAACTAAATGAGGGTGAATAAATGTTACAAAAGGAGATATTTGGAAAAATTGTTGGAAACTGGTAGCCTTTGACTTCCTACTATAGAAATCAACAGGAGGCAAAGCTAATTGGAGCTAAATGAGGGTGAATAAATGGTCCAAAGGAAAATAGTTTGAAAAATGTTGGAAACTGGTAGCCTTTGATTATCTACTAGAAGTCAATAGAAATCAAAGTAAATTGGAATGAGGGTGAATAAATGTTTTGAAAGAAGATAGTTTGAAAAATGTTGGAAACTGGTGTAATATAGAAGTCAACAGAAATCAAAGTCAATTGGAACTTAATGGTGGTGAATAAATATTACCAAAGGAGATATTTTGAAAAATGTTGGAAACTGATAGCCTTTGACTTCCTAATATAAAAGTCAAAGTCGATTGGAACTAAATGAGGGTGAAGAAATGTTACAAAAGAAGATAGTTTGAAAATGTTAGAATCTGGTATCCTACTATAGAAGTCAAAGTCAATTGGAACTAAACAAACGGTAAATAAATAAAAATTTTCGGCTAACTATCTTTTAAGTTTTTTAGAAAAGAAAATGTATTTAAAAATCAAAGGTGAAGTAGTTGCACCAAACCGGTTAATATTTTTTTTTTTCAAAACACCATTGTTCTGTTATTGGTCACTCAAACAAACAGCCACGCCCCAAATTCATGCGCTTGGTTGAGTCATGCGATTTTCAAACAAAACATTTTTAAATTAACCAACAAATGCCACACTTGCTACTTTGAGCATGTTACTCTAATGTATTTTACCACCGCACAAGTGTATAAAAACTATAACATGGCACTGCGTATAGAGATGTGAGCACAAAACAGTCATCTTGTTATCTTTCACAGTCCTCTTGATATACTCTGTCCATTATTACACAGCTAATTCATTTCCTCCCTGACCCCTTTTATCGTAATGTCATATCAGTTTCATTTCCACCCCTGAATCTCTCCATAAATTCACAATGCTCACACCATTAAGGAAAGCTTAGGTTCCGCACTCCTTTTGTAATTTAATAAAGCTAAGCAGATTTCAGACTCGTATCTCTCACCGACGCGTGGTTCATGTGAGAATCTTCACTGCTGGTCTTTATAAAACAAAACCTGCTGGTGTGAATCACGCCTGAAGCCCATCTGGAGCAGAGCGGGGCCGATCTGTGGGCGTCATAATGACTATGACACTCACTAATGCGCCTAAATATTACCACACTCTCATTAGTGTGAAGCTTTCGATGGATTATTCCTTTAATTCACTGCTATCGTCGTTTTTATGCGAGTGTCCAAATGAGGTCTCTTATGTAATATTGACAATAATCAGGTAAATGTATTTATCTTGAATTCTGGTTACTGTAATGTGTTATTGAATGATAGGATTTATGCCTAGAGGATATGTAAATAAAAATTAATTTATAAATACACTCTAAATAGTGAAGTCTATAAAAAGTGAATATCCCAGAAACAAAGTTTTGGAAGACATATGGGCAAAGCAGAGGCGCAGTAGGTAGTGCTGTCGCCTCAAAGCAAGAAGGTCGCTGGGTCGTACCTCGGCTCAGTTGGTGTTTCTGTGAGGAGTTTGCATGTTCTCCTTGCGTTTGCATGGGTTTCCTCCGGGTGCTCCAGTTTCCCCCACAGTCCAAACACATGCGTTACAGGTAAATTGGGTACAGCCTAAATTGGGTAGGCTAAATTGTCCGTAGTGTATGTCTGTGTGTATGTGTGGATGTTGCGGCAGGAAGGGCATCTGCTGCGTAAAAACATGCTGGATAAGTTGGCGGTTCATTCCGCTGTGGCGACCCCGGATTAATAAAGGGACTAAGCCGACAAGAAAATGAATGAATGAATGAGATTGGAAGACATATATAGTCCTATAAAGGAGATATGTGATTCTATAGATGTAACAATTTACTTATTGAGGACTATAAAAATAAACATAATGATATTAAAGTTAATCATTAAAGTTATCATTATTATTGGGTTTACATTGCTGTAGTAGAGTATACAATAAAAGAAATTCGATAATACGGGGATTTTTGGTTATTCAATTAGAATAAATAGCTTTATTCATTCAGTTTCTTTTGGCTTAGTCTTTATTTATTAGGGGTCACCACAGCAGAATGAACCACCGAATTAATAATTGGATTATTTTAATTTATTTTAAAACATATGTAAAACTATTTACACACATAATATGTCATTTAATTGTTATATTTGGTCTCAGTTGTTTGTTCGTTTAGTTTGTATTTTTGGTCTTTCCAATGTTTGTTTCAATGGTTTCTCATTGTTTCACTGATTATGTTCACCTGTGTATTGTTTAGTCACTCGTCATTTTCTGTTTACATGTCTTTAGTTTCTTTGAATTAATTAATGATAGGATTTATGCCGAACTAGAGGAGCTAATATATAAATAAACTCAATACAGTGTAGTCTATAAAGAGTGAATCTCCCAAAAACAATGTCTAGGAAACATAAAGTTGAAGTCAGAATTATTAGCCTCCCGTTGATTTTTTTTTCTTTTTTAAATATTTCCCAAATTATGTTTAACAGGACAAGGCAATTTTCACAGTATGTCTGATAATATTTTTTCTTCTGGAGAAAGTCTTATTGTTTTATTTAGGCTAGATTAAAAGCAGTTATTATTTTTTAAACACCATTTTAAGGACAAAATTATTAGCCCTTTTAAGCTAATTTTTTCCCGATAGTCTACAGAACAAAGCATTATTATACAATAACTTGCCTTATTACCCTAACCTGCCTAGTGCTTAGTTGACCTAATTAACCAAGTTAAGGCTTTAAATGTCACTTTAGGCTGTATAGAAGTGTCTTGAAAAATATCTAGTCAAATATTATTTACTGTCATCATGGCAAAGATAAAATAAATCAGTTATTAGAAATGAGTTATTAAGACTTTTAAGTTTAGAAATGTGTTGAAAAACTCTTCTCTCCGTTAAAAATGAAATTGTGGAAAAAAATTAACAAGGGGTTAAATAATTCAGGGGGGCTAATAATTCTGAATTCAACTGTATATAGTGCTATATAGGAGACATAAATAATCATTTAGATATTACAATTTACTTCAAGAAAATCAAGCTTAATGAGGACTATAAAGATAGTTAGTTAGTACAGTTCATCTTTAAGGTTATCACTATCATTGGCTTTACATTGCTGTAGTACAGTATACAGTAAACATTATATGATACAGTTATTTTGGTTAGATCAAGAATGAATAATTTCATTCATTCATTTATTTTCTTTTGGCTTAGTCTCTTATTTATTAGGGGTCACCACAGTGGAATGAACCGCCAAATTAATAACTGAATTATTATAATTTATTTGAAACTTTTTTAAAACTATTTACATACATAATACATTATTTAATTGCTATATTTGGTCTCAATTGTTTGTACTTTCAGTGTTTTGCTTTTTTTTATTTTGTCAATGTTTGTTTCTATGGTTTCTCATTATTTCTGATTATGTTCACCTGTGTATTGTTTAGTCACTCGTCATTTTCTGTTTACACGCTTTAATTTCTTTAAATTAATTTATGATAGGATTTATGCCGAACTAGAGGAGTTAATAAATAAACTCCAAACAGTGTGGTCTATAAAGAGTAAATACCCCAAAAACAATGTTTGGAAGACATATTTAGTCCTATTTAGGAGACATATATTGCGATTTGCTTCCAGAAAATTAAGCGTATTAAGGACCATAAGGATAAACATTTGTTCAATCACTCGTCATTTTCTATTTACCTTCAGTTTCTTCAATTTATTGACCAATTTTTTTCTTTGGACATGTTTGATGTAAGCTGTTACATTCTGCAGTGCCTGAATTTGTTGTAAATATTAATAATAAATAAACGAACTAATCTTAATCGTTGATCATTAACGAAAATTAAAGCAGCATCTAGATATCCTGTTTCTCCTTTTATTCAAAATGCAGTTCCCATTTAATTTAACTGGTTTACTTTTTATTTATTTAGCTTAATAAAGTAAAAATTGCCCGAAACTGGAAATGTTTTTTTGACTGATGTACAGGGAATTATGCACAAATAGCCTTAAGCACTTTCAAATCTTTATGTAAACACATTTACCAGGTAATTAAGTTGAGCACAACCTACAAGGCACATGTCAGTCCATTCATAGCACATACGCACAGAAACACACACACACCTAACACCACTAATCACCGACTCATCCACTGACACACTGGCCACGCCTGTGATACGTCAGATATTGGATTAGTCTAACCTGTGACTCACAGTGACGTGTTTGTTTGATCTTCGTTTATCTATATATTACTTCTTTTTTTTTTAGGGCTTGGTATTCATTTCATTTCTGAGAAAACAAGCAACACAGGATTTGTAGGTGCAAATAAAAAGTTGCGGTGCAGTCGGATTATGGAAATTATGTGTTAGTAAGGCAGAGGAAGTCTTATTTTTAAACAGCCTGAAAGAAGCTCAACTATCTATAGGTTAGGACTCAGTTCTGAGAATAGTTTAAGCCATACAAGTGACGTTTATATAACGTTGAAAAGATGCAGACGTTTAAAACATAAGAGGTAAACATAAAGGTAAACATAACAACCTAAAAAAAGATATCTGTCAATGTTTTGATTTTAAGACACTGGTATTGTATAATTTATTAAATAATACATAAATAAATATTGATGTTGTATATCTTATTGTAAAAATATTGATATTGATTAATGTTTTATTTGCTAAATTACATAAATAAAAATTGATATTGTATGTTTTTTGTAAAAACATTGATGTTTATTCCTGTCTTATAGTAACAACAAAATATTAATATTTATTCATTTCTTATTTACTAGTAATACATAAATAAATATTGATACCATATGTTACTGTAAAAATATTTATATTTATTCATGTCCTATTTACTAATAATGCATAAATTAATATTGATATTGCATGTTATTGTAAAAATATTGATATTTATTCATGATTATTTACTTATAAAATATAAATAAACATGAATATTGTATGTTATTGTAAAAATATTGATATTTATTCATGATTATTTACTAATACACAAATAAACATTGATATTGTATGTTATTGTAAAAATATCACTATTTATTCATGTCTTATTTGCTAATAATATATAAATAAACATTAATATTGTATGTTATTGTAAAAATATTAATATTTTTAATTTTTTATTAATCATACATAAATAAACATGAATATTGTATGGAATTGTAAAAATATTGATATTTATTTATGATTTTTAATTAATATATAAATAAATATTTATATCGTACGGTATAGTAAAAATTTTGATATTTATTCATGCCTTATTTTCTAATGATACATAAATAAATATTGATATTGTACGTTTTTGTAAAAAAATATTGATATTTATTAATGTCTTATTTGCCAAAAATGCATAAATAAATATTGATATTGTGTGTTGTTGTACAAATATTGATATTTATTTATTTTTTATTAACTAATTATACTTTTTTAGGTTGTAATGTTTACTTTTATGTTTCCTATTATTCCCTAATAATACTTAAATATATATTGATATTGTATGTTATTGTAAAAATGTCAACATTTATTTATGTATTTTTATCTAATTATACTTGTTTACGTTTATGTTTACGTTTATGTTTCCTACTTGTGTTTTAAAAGTCTGCATGTTGTATGTTATTGTAAAAAAAATATTGATTTTGTATTACGCACATTTTGGTTTTAGAACTTTACCGAAAGCATTTGATTGACTTCAAAATGTTGACTATTACACGCAGATACAAACAGAGCGATATTTACCAATGAAATCGATAGCCTCCTGGAAGTGTGAGCTGATATCGGCCGTGTGACTGTCCTCCACCGGGATCCATTTGTAGTTGTACTGTCCTCTGGCGGGCCGAGAGTCTCTGCGTGAGACGTTCAGCAGGGCTGTGATGTGGAGGTCACTGAGATAGTCCTGTCTGCAGGCATGATAGGCACTGCCCAGGTACAGGAAAGGCAAGATCTCCACCGGCCGTCCCTGAAAAATACAATAATATGAATAAATTTGTACATAATCATTCAGATGTTTTTGCATGAGATGCTAAATCACAAATGATGCTTATGTTTAAGAGCAGGCCTTTTCTCTAAAAATCATAAATTACATCAGGTAATTTCAACTAACACACTTTCATGACAGTAATGTTCATATTTGTTTTGATTCATTAAGTTAGTGTATATAGTTTAAAATGATTTTTTTTATACATTGTGTTTTAAAAAGAAAAACAATAATATATCATACAAAAATTAGACAGCTTATCATACTACAGGAATAAGAAAGACTACGTTTCGTGCAGGAATAACAGAGAAATCTGTGCATTAGAATAAACATTTTATTTACTTTCCTTGGCGATGACGTAATGATGGTGTAATGATGACGTATTTATTTTTTAGCTGCATAAGGCTTAAATGAAATAGTGTTTTCGAATAAAGATAAGAGTTTGGTCAAAGGTTTACGAAAACTGAAAGGCTAAAGTGCTTCACGTTTTCTTTGTGAATTTCTGACTAAAAACTGGACAAAAGGTGCATTGGATTACTTGTTGGCGAAAATTAATCACTTTGGATCAGTATGTCGTGTGGCGGAGAATGGGCGTTCATGCACTGGTACTGTGGTACTGCCTACGGTACTGAGCCAAGAAGACACACCACGCATCCATCATACTGTTCGACAGATTGCACGGGAGTCTGGCAAATAATGATTGCGATATGTAAACATTACTTTATTTCTGTGCATGCTAATTTAGTTTGCAAGTATTAAAATTGAAGTGTTCTGACAATATTTGGGTTAACAATGTGGTGATATAAATCAGGTGAGGTGGAAAATGTAAATATATATGATATAATTTAATATACTTGCCATCTAACTACTAAATATATATATATATGTATATATATATATATATATATATATATATATATATATATATATATATAGTGTCACAAAAGTGCATATCAGTCTACCCTGCAGGCATAGGATGTCAACATGACGTCAGATTGACGTTGCACTCCAACGTCGTGGGGACGTCGGATTTTGTTTGGAAATAAAAATCATGTTGACGTCAGAACCCAACTTCAGGCGGACGTCAATGTCCAATGTCAAACCTAATATCAACCAAATATCAACGTCTAATCATGTTACACCTTGACGTTTTGTGGACGTTACCACTATCACATCTATCAGACATTCGATTTCGGTCACTTTCCAACACAACCTAAAATCAAGCAATTATAAATGTAATTTGACAATAATCTTTTCGTTATTTGACATCAAATAAAATTCTTAGACGCAAGACATAAAATTTTGGTCACCTAACGTCATGACCTAAATCTAACCTAATATTAACATCTTATGATGTTGTGTGCCTGCTGGGTGATTTACAACATTTGCGGTTGCTGATTTGTACTAATTTCGTACAATATTAATAATGCATTTTCGTTAAAAATCAGCTCACACGCATACATTTAGTGAAGCTTCATGCTTAAATGTATGGAAAAATCACACATTTTATTTTCTAATCAGATGAATTCATATAATATCATGCAAACTTTTTTGTACAATTCGTTCACGTCCCTGTGATGTTTATATTTAGGGTCGGGACTTTACTTTTTAAAATTGCACATTTTATTTCCTAATTCGTATGAAATTGTACCATATATTTCATTCCTTCTCCTATGTGCTCATGCCTGACTGTTTAACAGACGACTAATAGACATCTAAACGTAGACAGCTTGGCTAAAAGGTTGTCAGTGAACATCCAATAGACATCTAATAGCCCAAAACTAGACTAGATTAGACAGACTTTAGTCATTCATTTTCGTTTATTTGATGACTAGTTTTGGCCTATTCTTAGATGTCTATTAGATTTTTACTGACAGACCAAATTTAGCCTTGTTTTAGCCAAAATGACTATGTTCAGACGTCTATTAGAAATCTATTAGACATCTTTTGAAAACAAAAAAATTCTTGCTACGTAATTTTATCATTTAAAACAATACAATTTATAATTTTTTGCACAAACTGCTCATGCCCCAGTGATGGTTTTGTGTTTATGGGTTTGTCATCATAGCTAAACACCTTACATTTCTGTCCAGTTCACATCATATGAGCAAACATTAAATCAGCACCTTGTTTTTTTTGTTCTTTTTTTTTGTTTTTTGCATGAGGTTACTTTGTACATACAGATATCAGAAGTGAAACTCTTAGAGAACAGTTTCACCACGCATAGCAAAACAGGTGGTGTAACAGGCACTGTTTGACCTTATCATAAAAAATGAATTGCAGACCAAAGGTCAGACATAAAAGGACCTCAGATGTCCACTGGGTGTCTATGAACGAAGTCTGTTGTTTGGTTAGTTAACTCAACACAGTATCTGTCTGTCTATCTATCTATCTATCTATCTATCTATCTATCTATCTATCTATCTATCTATCTATCTATCTATCTATCTATCTATTTATCTATCTGTCTATCTGTCTATCTATCTATCTATCTATCTATCTATCTATCTATCTATCTATCTATCTATCTATCTATCTATCTATTTGTCTGTCTATCTATTTATCTATCTATCTATCTATCTATCTATCTATCTATCTATCTATCTATCTATCTATCTATCTATCTATCTATCTATCTATCTATCTGTCTATCTGTCTATCTGTCTATCTATCTATCTATCTACAGTGAGAAAACGCATGGTCTTTTCTCTGTATGTCGAGTCATATTGACAGGGGAGTTTATTGCAGAAACTCCCCCATTCAGGAGGAAGTGGTTTCAGTGGAAGTGGGTTAAAATGAGGAAGCAACAGCTCGCTTTCTTCTCTCTTACCTGATCATAGTCTGGTTTGTGGTGAGAAGCCAGTTTGTCACAGTGACTGCTGACGCCTCTTTCGCTTTTGTCTTCACTCACTTCCACAGACCTGGTTTCAGTGCAAAGCTCAGGGTAATGGGCATGGAAGTTCTCATAGCCTCCTGCGATGAGAAATTCAGTGTTATTATGAGTTGTCAAGGACTGTTGAGTCGTTCAGCTTATCAAGAGCTTTATGTGGAGCAGTTCAAGCTGAGCCAAAAAGCAAACCACACCAATAGAGGGAGAGTGTTCGTGAGCTCAAGGGCTTTTCATTTCTCACAATCTCACATTGAACAGAGCTTTGGTTTGGTTGATTTAATAAAAAATAGTAACATAGAATCCTTGTACAATTAAATACCCTGCTTTCATTTGAAAGAGTATTACCGTGAAATAGCTATAAATATTACTGTGTTAGTCCTCATACTTCCCTCTGTGACTCATCCGTCCTTTGACGCACAACAAGAATTTATCTTTTGAAAACCAGACAAAATCCTCTGCTACATCAAACTGTGTGTAGATAAAAATTTAAATTATAACTTAAATTATATATAGCCTATAACAAAATAAAGATTCATATATATATATATATATATATATATATATATATATATGAATCTTTATTTTGTTATAGGCTATATATAATTTAAGTCTATACTTAGTCTGTTTTAATGGATTTATAGTCAAAACAAATGTAATTACATTATTATTGAAATGTATTTTTCCTCAAAACTCTACAAAATAATTCAGAAAATCTTTTAGAAATGCTTATTATTTCAAATTAAAAGTCAAAATTTTAACATTAAATTATTCAAACAAATATTCTAACGATCTGAATCCTTGTTTAGTCATAATCTACTGTCATTCTGAACGCAATCACACAAAAACAAAGGACATATATTAAAAAACACGCTCTTTACACGTTATTAAAACTTAAAATAATCGAACATTATTAACTCACCTTTTAAGAAGCAGATGCTCGCGCTACTCGTCAAGTGCGACAAAGTATTAATAACTATCTGAGCAATGCTGTCCTTTTTCAGTTTCTGTAAATGAGGTGTGCGGTCGTCCAGAGCCACGACAGCGGAGATGCTGCCCTCCCGAAGCCGAAATAAGGCTTTCTCGTCCGGAATGACGAACTGTAGAGGAACCGGACCACCGCGGGACCTCCGGACAACCACCGAATTCAAGTTCACATTGACGGAGCCTCTGATACAAGAGTTCGAGAAGGAGAAATACGGTCTACAGTCCACAATAAGACAATTTCCACACTCCTTCCGTATGATCTTCCTCAGGCGTCGGCAATCTATGCTGGAGACCTTCATGTTTGAAATGACAAAGTGAAATGTGTTTTAAATAGGGATGTGGATGTTTCAGGGGTGTAGGTTGCCTACTAAACCCTGCGTACTGAGCCTGAGTCTACATTTCCTCCAAGGGGATTCCGTCTGATCTGTTTTATGTGAATGGAACCTCCGGCGCTTGACGTCACGAACCATATATGGACACACCCACACGGGAGCGCGCCCACATTCTGTTGACTGAACCCGCCCTTGAAACCGAGTGAGGCGAATAAATACTGAACATTTAACTCATCGGTTCATCACGGTGCTGCTCATATGTGTCACTTTCTTGTAATTCAAGCGCTCATTTATTGTAATAACCTTGAAAGTATTTGAAAACGACAACATGGAAGGTTATTTTTGGACAACTAGGCTATTTTATCGTCCACACCAACAAAGGATGATGAGGTACTTCAGTTTGTCGCTTTAAAAGTTCAAGCACTTAAAAGAAATACCTCAAAAACAAAAATATGCTTTTATCATATATAAACAACTTTTTTTCTTCAGTAAGAAAATTAAAGGTGAATCTGGTCCTTTGATTTTCATAAAAACAAGTTGTTGGCAAAATTTGACTGAAAAAAACAACAACATACAGGCAAAACAATATCCCCATGGCTCCTGATGATGATACATGAAGGTCTTGTGAAGCAAAAAGGTTGGTGTGTGCAAGAAACTGAACATTAGGCTATTTACAACATTATGAGGGCTACTTTTAATCCACAATAAACAGAGCGTTCATAACAGAACGACTCTCAAACTGACGCCATTTGAGCGGGACAACATTGTATTGGTCAACTAGTAGGCAACTTATCATAGACATGTATATAAAGTATGGACACATTCACATGTGCAGTCTCAATCATTTTATTCCTTCGGCTTTTTTGGGGATGCCATGGCGGAATGCATCACCAACTATTTTGGCATTTGTTTTATGCAGCAGATGCCAGCAGATGTCTCAATCACAGATTCCCAAAGTTTTTATATACAGTACATCATTATTGAAAGCAATTACGCTCGCATCTGGGATCATTT